CCCCATCTATGCTTCTCTTGATCTCTTTAATAGCATCCCACCCAGCATCCGGCAAATCAACCCCAGACGAGATTTCAAAGCAAACATCCTACCACTTGTCATCTCTTCCGTATGTACTTGCTCACATTGCTCAGCACATCTATAGCTCCATTGCGCCCAGCCTACGTGATTAACTCCCAATTAGTATTGCCATCGCTACTGCCTCAGCAAGCAGCTAAACTTTGATCTCTCTGTATCTGATCCCCGTGCCTGTAATTATTTTTCTCTTATTGGCCACAGGCCATCGTGAGAATAAAAGAATTCAAACAACAACAACAACAACAACAACAACAACAACAACAACAACAACAACAACAACAACAACAACAACAACAACAACAACAACAACAACAACAACAACAACAACAACAACAACAACAACAACCACAACAACAACAACTACAACAATTGTTGCAAACATTTACCGACCACCCCGTAGCGATTGCACCCTCTTCTGTGCGGAACTGGAAAGAAGCATCAAAACCGCTAGAGCCGAAGGTGACGACCTCCTACTACTTGGAGACTTCAATGCCAAGAACAGTGCGTGGCTCACCACAGACAGAACAGATCGCCTTGGGGACGACATACAAACTCTGCTACACACATACGGCCTCACACAACATGTCAGATTCCCTACTTACATCCACCGACAAACACCTCTCTCATGTCTAGACCTTGTTATCTCCTCACTCCACACCAATGATATTCATATCCAATCACTTCCACCGTTTGGCGCATCCGATCACACTACTATCAGTGGCCACATCAATAATCAACTGCCCCCCATAATTAACAACTCCCCTCCACGATCGAGAAGCACCACATTCTGGTCATGGACAGACAGCACTATCCACATTCTTCGAGAAGCCCTTTCACGCACAAATCTCAACCACCATCCAAACCAACACGACCCATGCCCAGTTGACACCTTCTGGCGATCCTGGCGCGACAATGTCATGAGCATCGCCCAAGAACACTGCCAAGTTACTCGCACTAACCCCCCTTGGGACAGGAAGAACGTGCCAGCACGACCATGGATATCAAAGGGCCTCTTGAAAGAGATCAAGGATAAGCACAGAAAACACAGAATATACCTTCACTCACGCTCGCCTGACGACTGGAACACGTTCACTGCTCAAAAAAACCGTGTCACCACCCTCCTGCGTCGTGCTAAATCGGATTTCGTAAACAACTCAACAGCCTCCTCTACTTCCCTACACCGCCTCATGAAGCACCTAACTACAGCTACAAAACAACGCATACCCGAACTCGTCAGCCAAGCAACTCCTGCAACGACACCAGCACAAAAAGCCGCTGCCCTCAACGAATTCTTCATTTCACAGAGCAAGCTGTCCGTGGCCAATGCGGATGAGCAAACTCCAGCCATCAACACCAACCCTGACATCCTCAGTCCCCTTCAAGAAATCTCGACTTCCCAAGCTGAGGTCGAAAAACTCCTCCGCGGAGTTGATACCAACAAAAGCCCCGGGTTTGACTCTATTCCAAACCGCCTACTCAAAGAAGCGGCGAAGGAACTTGCACCGTCGTTATCGTCCCTCCTTAATCTATCGTTCCAAACCGGAGAAATCCCACAGGAGTGGAAAGATGCCACCATTACTCCAGTACCCAAGCCGGGTGACCCAACCCAACCAACAAATTATAGACCCATCTCTCTCTTGAGCACTACATCAAAAATCCAAGAAAAAATTGCACATCAACTCCTCTACAAGCACATCACACCCCACCTGCCCAACCAGCAGTCCGGATTCCGCGAGAAAGACGGCACTGAGCAGCAGCTCGCCCGTCTCGTCCATACCCTCTCCACTGCGAGACACGACGGGAAACACGTCAATGCCTGCTTTTTCGATCTAAGCAAGGCCTTCGATCGTGTGTGGCATGCAGGCCTTCTAGCAAAACTCTCCCACTATGGTGTCCAGGGCACCGCCCTGGAGTGGTTCCGACGGTACCTGTTGGGGCGTCGGCAAAGGGTCCAGGTGGATGGCGACCTATCGCCTTTCCTCGAGATTCCTGCCGGCGTCCCTCAGGGATCTGTTCTTGGGCCGCTTCTATTCCTCGTCTACACCATAGACATTCCACACGCATGTGAGAATCCCAGCACCACCTGTAGCCAGTTTGCAGATGACACCGCTCTGATTTCCATAGCGAGAACTCTTCAAGACTGCACCCAAAACCTACCACAGAGTGTCACAGCAGCTGGAGACTGGCTTCAAAGATGGCACCTGCTGGTTAACACAAAGAAAACAGTCATCCTCCCGTTCTACCACAATAACCCCCCCCCCTGAACAGCTACCCCAGATCACCCTCAGGAATAGTCCGCTTACCGTAGCACAAAAAAACAAACACCTCGGAATAATCTTTCAGTATGACCTCCGTTGGACGGAGCATGTTGAATACATAGTCAAAAAATCACTCAAGTCTTTCAATATTCTTTTTAGACTAAGGTCTACACTCACCAGTTATTCTTTATCTCACATCTATCAGACATACATACTACCTATATTCTCATATGCGAGCAATGCTCTCACACCGTTGTCCCACACTTCCCTTGACAGGCTAGAACGACTCCAGCGGAAAGCCGCCAGGATATGTCTCCACCTTCCTCTTTACACACACTTAGAACACTCCCACCTTTTGCATCGCATCAAATGGCCAACATTATGTTCACGCTTTAAAGTTAAACATATACTCTTCGCGCATTCTCTGCGCCACAATTATGCCCCACCACATATACTCTCGCTGCATACTGCTAGCAATGTGCAACCTTCGTATAATTTACGTCACTCTCGTACTTGGCACTTGCCAACTCCGCTGACTGACCGCTGTCTCCATTCTCCCCTGTACAAGGCCCTTCATTACTTTAATTGCTTACCCGCACAGCTTCGCGAAATCCCTTCTCGTACTCCCTTCAAATCCGAGATATCCCTGCTGTTGCACAACTTTGTATGCTCGTGTAGCGACCACCCCTGCCCGTACACTTAAATACCCAACTCTGTATGCTCGTGTGGCGACCGCCCCTGCCCATACACTTAAGTAGTCATTAACCCCTAGGCCCTGCCCACCCAATTCTTCCTCACTCTTTCTCCTTTCTTACACTATTATCTCTTATTGGCCACTGGCTATCATGAGAATAAAGATTTGAAACAACAACAAATTATGCTGGGGGTAGAGAATCAGCCAGAATATTCTTACGCGCCTCAAGTTCACACTACATTACCATAAGAATGTATGGAGCAGTGGAAAAATGCGGGAAACAACACATGAAGGGAATGCAGTACCAGAACAAACACGTGATAAAGTTGTCAGTCTGGTTACGACTTGAACAGCGGCAGCACTTTGATGTGCTTCTTTTGTTGACACAGTTCTGGCCTCAAACTGCGAATGTATAGCACCTCCAGCATGAATCAGTGCGGGCTGTTCCAGGCTGGTGTGATGACACTGAAGCTGCTGTTTCGTTCCTGCTGTTGCGTTTCGTTATTGTTCATTCCCATGTAACTACTGATGAAAATGGTTGAAAAGCTTTTCGTAATATGAAATTCACAACCTTGTTGTTGTGTGTATATAAATTTCATTCGCCTACCTCTCTATTTAAATATATACATGTATACACCTGTCAACAAACAATGGATCACTCGTAACTAGTACTTCAGTAGTGTTTTGCTACTCTGAGTTTCATGCACTGTGTGCAATCATCAGGCAAAAATATTCAATATTGTTTGCCTGATGATTGCACACAGTGCATGGAACTCAGAGTACCTAAACAGTACAAGTGATCCATTGTTTGTTGACATGTGACATTGCTCCCCCCCCCCCCAAGAAATTCGATGTTGAGCCCTTTTTCTGCAGCTGCAGGCATAGTCTTATTGAGTATATAAAACTATACTCAACCAGCGGACAGAACTGGTTCGTCCTTTGTGGACTCATCATAGCAGGACAGAGGAAATGAGATCGAACCAGGTAGCAATGAAAAATAAATTTTCCAAAGCCAGATTTAGACCAGGCCCGAACGTACCTTGCCAAAGTTCTCAAACTGCCAAGTCGGCATATATGGAAAATGCTAGCTATAATATATTATATTATAGTTAGCATTTCCCACCTCTTCGCCACCTCCGTTTGTTCCGCTTATGGTCTATCAGCACAAGATATGTGAATGTGAATATCCTCTGCATGATTTCAAGAAGCCATGCAGAACTTCTAGTAGCATGGACATTGCATTGGCTAATGCCTACCTGGAATGGACCAGATGTAACTGCTGGGACAGTGTTCAAGAGCACTCGTGCGTGGAGCCATTTGTTACCCTGGTTTCCGCTTTGCGTGAAGACCCTGACATTTGCAGTGGAAGTCTTCACGTAGACATTCAGCGTATCGATGCTGGAACCGTACATGTGGTACCAGAAAGAGAAGGTACAGACCTTTGGGTGTAATGTGGCGTAATGTGGTGAGTAGATAATGGCTTTATCACCAGCAACCCTTGGTCTAGAGGTCTCGATATACAGGTAGTGACCTAAAAACACGCACACATAGCCGTAGAAGTGGAACATGCCTTGTTGTTCGCCCATAGAAAGAGTGTATACTCATATACGGCCACAACAGGTTCATTCACGAAGCATTGAACATTCATGAGGCCATTGAAAATAACTGACCGGTTAGACAACAATTGGGTGCAAGCTATGAATAACGGCACGTCAATTCAACTACAAACTAAGCAGTCAGACCTTGCCACAATCGGTTACAAAACTGACAGATTTCTAGCATCTGCCGCAACCCGACATTTAGCTCCAACTAGCCGATCTCCATCTAATGCACATACAACTGTGATATGATTTCTTGTAGATCAGATCTGCCAGCCCATCGTATCATGCCAAACAGTTGGACTCATATCGGGCTGACCCTGGCAAAACAAATCACTTACCAGACGCATATGAACGATCTGACGAGGGACCTGTGTTGTGACTTCCTGTTGTTCCTTGTTTTCTCGTCCAGTCAAATTGATCAATGCTAGTAGCTTGTGTGTAGCCGCTCAGTCCTGTTGTGAAGTCAGCAGTGGATGCTTTGCATGCTGATATACGATAGACATGAATAGCAAACCCACACACATGTTGCAGTACACAAACACGCGTACACGCCCACGAACACACACACACACACAATTCGTACACACATACTCATGGAGGTATGCACAGGAAGAGGGTACAATACTAAATCCTAAGACTCTTCGAAATTTGGTAGTGTTGGTGGTGGTGGTGGCGGCGGCGGCGGCGGCGGCGGCAGCGGCGGCGGCAGCAGCAGCAGCAGCAGCAGTAGTAGTAGTAGTAGTGCGGCTCATTGAGTGCGGATGGAGATTTTGCTCCTCCGCAGTTTTTTAATTGTTTTATCCACTGTCCAGGTCAACCTTTTGTTTATCCTACGTCATTACTTTCGTCTAGGTTTCAGGAGTCGGCTCCAGTAGTTTTTACCGCTGTGGAGTTGCCCAGTCTGCTATTCCTACATCCAGCTGGTGTCGTATTGCCTGGCGAACTGGCCATTGTGCTGTAGTTTCAGTGCCTTCGCCTTTGGGCCTTAGGTGAGATGGCTTGCTGTGCTGTGCTTCGCGGCTGAGTCACACTGAGTGTTTTCCCACATGGTCTGTGGCGAGTGACATGCGAGGTGCTCTTCACACCTCGCGTCTCTTGCCCGTGCTGCAGGCTGCATGGCATGTCACGGCGTGGGGCGTCGGCTGGGCCCTGTTGCTCCTGCAGCAAGAAAACTGGTACGTGCGGAGCAGGTTCGTGCAATATGGATGGACGATGCTGTGTCAATTGCTACCCAGGTCAAGTTGGGCGTTGCAGGAATTTTGGAAATTTGGATTTGCATGATGTTGGTGGATCAGAGGTGCCTCAAGGCCTTTCTGCTGGTGATCCGCCGGCCTGGAGTGGACGAAGAGTGCAGCCTCCTCGATCGGGTGAGTCCGCTGCTGGCCGGACCGGTGGTGTGCCTCGCGAGGTACGGACTACTTTGGTATCCAGGCCCCCGTCGTCGGCTGCCGAACGCTCGGGTGCGGCACCGGCGCCTGAAGTGGCAGGATCTTCCCAATCTTCTGTGTCTGCGACTGCGGTTCCGTCTGGGGAGTCACTACGGGTGGACTTGCCTGTTCCTGTGTGCTCCGGGATGGTTCCTGATTGCGCTGCCGCCCCTTCGCCCGTGGGTGCTTCTGCTGACCCCACTGCATCTTCCCGGGTACCTGCGTCTGCAGCGCCGACCTCTGTGGGTCCCGGCTCGTCTCGACAGCCTCAGTTCGTTGATCTGCCACCCGAGAAATGTGATTCTCCAGAACCCGATGGCTTTTGGTCCTTGCCAACGGACGATATAATCATTTTAATGGACAAAACTCATGCAGAAATAGTCAAGTGGCAACGGAATCTATTTATCATACCTTTCGGGGATGAGGGTCGTCGGTTCGTCAAAGAACTAGCTCGCCTGATTGGTCTTTTCAGCGGCGGAACTCGCGACGGTGCTTTTGCATGGTCGGCTGTGGTCATTGCTTGCCATCTGATTTTGCAGCGGCCTTTTGTAGTATCCAATGCCTCTGACAACAAGAAATCGTTACGCAAGCGTCTTGACTGGTGGAGGTGCGGAGACATGGCGGCATTGCTGCGTGAGGCACGGTGCATTCAAGCCCATCTACCCCGATCAGCACCTGGCAAAACAGCAGCTAATGGTCTGGATGACGTCGAGTTCGCAAAAATGGTATACAGCGACCGCATTGGAACAGCTGCTCACTACCTGGAGGATGATGGTGGTGGTGGCGTACTCCCGTTGGACAAAATTGTGGGTGGCAAGTCGGTACTGGAATTGTTGAGAGACAAGCATCCTGTTCCGGCTGATGCAGAACCAGAGATTCTACTCGATGATGAAGCCACAGTCCAGGAGAATGTGCTGTTTGATTCAATAACACCAGCTCAAATCCGCAAGACCTGCATGATTATGAAGGGGGCAGCGGGTCCGTCAGGCCTTGACTCTGCTGCCTGGCGTCGGATGGCCTCAATGTATACATCAGCTTCTGACGACCTGTGCTCGGCTCTGGCTCGTGCTGCCAAGCGTCTTTGCACTGAGGCAATTGAGCCGCGGGATCTCCGCTCATTCCTGGCAGCAAGGCTCATTCCATTGGATAAGCAGCCTGGGGTAAGGCCTATAGCCATCGGGGAGGTGTTTCGCCGCGTGATCGGGAAAGTGGTCATGTCGGTTATCGAGAGGGATGTGGCTGCGGTTACTGCTCCTCATCAGCTGTGCGTCGGCGTCCCGTCGGCTTGTGAGGTCGGGGTGCAGGCTTTGACCGGCCTCTATGACCGCAATACGACTGAAAGTATTCTGCTGGTGGATGCGTCCAACGCCTTCAATTCTCTGAACAGGGCCGCGGCGCTACACAACATTCCAAGAATCTGTCCTGCAGCTGGGCGAATTTTC